GGATTGGATCACTGGAATGTCCTTGAAGGAGTTAAAAGTTACCATCGAAGAAAAATTAAGATGGTGGGCACAGTCATCAGAGGTCTGGTCTGACTCAGTAGCACCTAACTAACTTAATGTTCCATAAAACTATTTAAAAATGGCAATCCCGCTTGCTTGACTAACCCCACTTGCTTCCTAAAATATCACCAACCTATTTTGATTTGGTATTCGCTAAACTGCCACGTTGGTCTTTCTGCTGACGCTGAAGATTAGTCTGCAATCTTCCGAAGTTTTACTAAACTGCTCTTACATGAGACATATGCTCTCTCTTTTGACTCTTTCCTCTGAGGCTTAATGTTCTGTTAAATTTACCGCACTTCAGTGCTTATTATCTTTGTGCCAACATGCTTAAAATTGACCTGTGCTATTTTCCAGTAAAAATCGCTAGCGTGTATCGCATATACCTGTAGAGTTTTACAGGTACAAATTTCAGCTGAAAGAATGCTAGAATTCAGCCAGTCATTTTTCATATGCAAAATAGCCATAGCAATACGGGAATAAAACACGGGGGGCTTGCATTCAATATATTTTTCTTCTTGATTATGGTAATTAGTATTAATTACTGCATGACTATCTATGTAGTTAGAAGCCCATCTCTAAGCATTAAGCAAGAGGCTATTTACATATGAATTTCTTGACAAAATTAAGTACTTGTTTTTCTTTTCTTCCATCTCCCTTCAGAAAAGCCTTCTGATGGTTTTTATTTGAAAATCCACAATAACAAACTTAGCACACTTCTAATGCTTTCATATCTGTATAATTTTTTATGCCACTAACCTCTCCAGGAAGAGACTAGATTAATTTGATAAATCAAAGCATTTGTGCAGATTATTATAAATGGCATATGTCAAATAATAGCTAACTCAAGTCAGAATTCCAGTTTTAAGTAAGCAATAGGTGGATACTCAGGAATACTGCCAATAGTCTGTTTTGGACCATCCTCTTACTCCCTGATAAATTATCAAAACCATCGTCCATCATTTGGCCTGGGATAAGCCAACATTAATTGATATACATGCTTTTTTTTTTTTTCAAAATAGATCTCTGTTTGAAGGTATTATGCTCTATATGAGTAACCTGGAGAAACTGTGGACTTTACCTTTTATACATTCTGTCAACTGTGTGACTATTTTACATGCGAGTAGCTCCCATGTGGGATGCCATATAAATGAAACCATCCATATGAAAGAATTTGTAGTTCACTTGTAAAAACTTACAGCTCACTTACCCATAATCATCATTCTTCAAGAGATCATTGATGTATTTTATATGCATTCTAGTGCTTTGTTATAACTCAAGTAGGAAAAGTTCTAGAGCTTGAGAAGTAGAGTGGATGCTCCATCCACCCATAGTATCCAACAAAACTGCCTGTCTGTCTGTTTTTCTGGTCTGTCTGTCCATCTGTCTGTTTGTAAAAGATTTGTATGGCCATCTGTTGGAACACAACTCTGGAACCTCACAGCAACTGTAAAGCTACAAAAACCATAAAACTGTAAAGCAGAAACTGAAAATCTATTACTTTAATCATCCTCCTAGGAGGCCTCTGTAGTGGTACTACCGGTACGCTAGAACCGGGCCAAACTGGTAGAATAGCACCACTGCCTCCAAGGCATATTCTGAAATTCCATAGTAGATGGGCAGATCATGTGAATTCACCTATGAAGGACTACAGCTGCAGAAAGGTAATCTCTCTGTTTAGACAAACGGACCATTATCTTTACCTGGAGGCAGGATATTTGGAGAACAAAGAGGATCCAAATAGTGCATCCTGCCAGGTTTGGTGTTGAGGGGGGTAAAATTAGGTAATCACTGATGATCTGATCGTGTCCCCAGGTGGGAAAGAAATTCCAATAAGAATGCTGTTTTCCAGATTAGGAAAAGGGGTGAATGTATGGATAATAGTTGAATGCAAACAGTCAGTATCAGGTGCATCAGTGTTAGGAGTCCAAGACATGAATAATGCCTTTAAAAAAACCCACTCCTGACTTTGCTATATTAGCTACTGAACTTTGGAAAGTAAGGAAAACAATCACCATCAATTATAATAACATCCTTTGACAAGGCTGCAATTAATTATTTTTTCTTTTTTTAAAAAAGCGTAAGTTTTGTTCCACAATGCCAAAAGAAATGGCAGGCATTAAGTGACTTATCACCAGGCAGTGATAAATGGTACTGAATGTAAAGTAGTTATTCATTTTTAGCTGAATAAACTGTTTTGTTGCTACAATGTCTCCAGTGTTATGGAAAGAATAATAGTATATTCAAAGAGCATTTTATAAATATTTGCAATAGGATGTGTTATAAAGTAATACATCATGATGCAGCATTTACATACAAGAAATGCCAATCTAACGTTCTATAAAACATATATTTATACTGAGAAATATGAAAAGTGAAATGTAAACTATAAAAAGAAATATAAAAAGCAAAAAAGTAGGATTGACTCTAATGTCAGGAAAACAAAAATAATGACAACAGCAGACAACACCCTAACCCTAACCTTAAAAATGTTTAACATGAATAAGATCCGGAAAAACAGAGATATTGATATAAATACAAAAAGCAGATTAGTTAGAGCAATAGTCTTCCCTAAAATGATACATGGGTATGAGAATTGGAGACTAAGCATAGTTGATTGAAGAAGAATTGATGCTTTTGAACTGTGATGTTGGTGTAAATTATTATATATAATATGGACAGCCAGAACAAGTAACAGAATTGTGCTAAATTGTCTAAAACCAGAAACATCACTAGAAGCCAAAATCACAAGATTACATCGGATTTACTTTGGCCATGTCATGCATGCAAACTCACTGGGGAAGTCAGTGACCATAGAAATGGTTAGTGGAACAAGAAGAAGAGGCAAGCAAAGAATACGCCGGCTCGATAACATCAAAACTGATATACAAAGATGAACATCCAACAACTAAAAAAAGTTGTGCTTGACAGGGTAGCATGGTGAGCACTTGCTTATCAAGTTGCCAAAAGTCAGACACAACTGAATGGTTAAAACAACAACAAAAGAGAGATCATGCAGTTCTAATGATTTGTCTTTTCAATTATGGATACAGTATGAACTTTAATTTCTAATGTAGATTAAGAGTCCCCCCCCCCCCCAAAAAAAACCTCAGCATGTCTTCAGAAATATCTGTAAATTATCTCTTAGCTCAGTGAGGAACTGCATTCTGCCACACAAGCCTAGCCCCTGCTTTTAAGATCAGTAGGCATGGCCATTTCCTTGCTCCAGCAGCAATCAAAGATACATTTTGAAGGAAATCAGAGAGGGCTTTCTTGGTCAGCTGTTTTAGCAACAAATATGTTTTTATTTGGGTATCCATTTGGAACTTTCTGCTAATTGGGTATGGGTTATACTTTTTAATTGATATATTTCTATATTGTTTTAGTTGCGTGTTGACACTTTAAAATGTGACATAGTGTGCATTCTACTGAATTATAAAATGTGCCTAACCATTGTTAAGTAGAGTAACAATTATCAAGCAATTCCTTTGATTTTCCACCAATATCTGATATGTAAAACCATCTTTGTAAAGGTCCTGGAAATAAACTTTAGTTTAACTGTCTAGACCTTGGTTGTATTTACCCACTGCATTAAATTATGGCTATTTCTTTGGCTTTGGCATAATGTATGATGGGGTTTTAAACTGGGGTTTTAAAACTTTTTTTTTTTTAGGTTAGCATGTGGTGCAAACTCAGCCATGTGGTTTATTCAATAAATTGTGGTTAAATAAATAATGGCTAACCATGAGATCAGTTTCAGTGTGTGCTCTTGTTATGATGATCTTCTACTTCATGTTTTTAAAATTCTTCTTCCTGATGATTCAAATTAAACATTTACTTTTCCCTGGCAATTTGTTTTATGGCTTCTCCCTCAGATTTATTCTATCTTATGCCCTAACTCTTTTTTAAAGACATGTGGTTTTATTTCTCATGACTTCTGGGTAATATTTGAAACTCAAGTCAGGACTGCTCTCTTGTCTTCAAGCTTTGATTTCAGAATTCATTAAATGACCTAATACGGACAAGCTACAGCTGCATCCAAAATGGAAAATTTCATTTTGAGTACAAATCTGACTCCATTCTCTGCAGCTTGGACAAGAAATGTTCCTACTTCATTTCATTTCATTTTATTTGTGAAGTAATGCTGGAAAACCTATAGGGAAACCTATCAAATGCATGAGCACTGCGAGATTTCATTTAATAGGTTACTGGACTTGCTGAAAGCTGCCTAAAATTGCAAGAGCCCTACTTTTGGCAATATGCTTCAGTGATTTTTCAAATGCCGACTCTCAGAAAATATTTCTAAAACAGCTTGTTTATCAAAGTACTCCTAGAATCTGTGGTATACTAAATGCACAGATTCAATTTATGTTCTGTATTCTGCAGAATTGATACATACTTCTCAGCTGATAAGGAGGTATGGTAATGTCTATAAGTATGTACTATAAGTATTTTATTTTATTGATGAAATTGCAAGGACGTATTAGTAGTGGAAGAAAAAGCTGTCTTAAAAGCTTCCCTGCCAAACCGCCATTACTTAATTTTTTACTGAACAACTTGACATAATTTTGCAGGAAATATTTCTGGTTAGTGGATCTCACTTTGAAAACAGCTGCTACTATGTTGCGACAAAGCTACTATTCAATCCCTGTATGATTGTTTCACAGATTTCAAAACAGATCATCCCCCACCAATAATGCAAATTTGTCCCCCTAAGTCTACACTAATTTTATGCAAAATAAAGTACACAGATTAAGCGAATAAACTCAGGTATACTTGGTGCAGAATAATGGTTTTCTAACTGCAGACTTAAAGGTTTGCCTTTCATGAAGTGCTGGATTGCAAACCATTTTTGAAAGCAATAATATAAACGTGTCCCCACTCATGGAAATCCTTAGAGTTTAACTCCCCTCCCCCAAACTTTAAATGCATTGACATACCTCCCCAGAAAAAGCTTGTCCATTCAACAGATGTTCTGATCCCTGGCTGTCTTCACTGCCAAAGTGTAACCGTATTTCTTCTAGTCGGTGACTGTATGTCATGGGCCCTCCGGAGATATTCACCAAATGTTCTTTATCCAGGCGTAGAGAAACATGCCTCCCTGTATTATACATTGTTCCACTGACCTAAACAAAACAGAATACAAAGGATGATATCAACATTAAAAAAAAAAGTTGGGAAGAAATTAACAAACTTTTAAATCAGTGTTTCTCAACCTTGGCAACTTAAAAAAAGTGTGGACTTCAACTCTCAGAATAATTCTGGGAGTTGAAGTCTACACATCTTAAAGCTGCCAAGTCCACAAGTTATCAAAGTTGAGAAAAATTGTTTTAAGGGTGTCCTTTTTTCCCCCTGCTTGGAACATTGTGTTATACACCAAATTCTTTTAATGTACACATATTTCATGTAAAATATGCAAGATGCATGCACACATTAGCTGGGAGTGTATGGGAAACACAATAAATATGATGTGTTTGCCTCTAAATAAGTAAGAATGTGAAAGCATTCCTTAGCTCAGAATGAAATAATTGCTTCATTAACAAATGTCGGGCCCCAGAAAGGTGAGTGTTTGCATGAAAATATAAGTTATTTACATTATACATAAAACATTTAAATAAAATGAACTAGTGTATTCTTGCTGAAAATGTCATATAAAAAATAAAGAAGGCTTGCTTGGAAGACACAAGGATCTCAAAAACAGGAAACAGCACTATTTTGAGGGGCCCCTAACATCTCTGAATGAAAACTGTTATGCCAACTATGATGGTTTCAATGTAACTAAAAATAGCAGCCATCCTAAGAAACCCCAAAGATAAAATTGACCTGGAAAATCAAGGCATATATGAAGTCCCCTGTGCATCATGCCCTGCCACATACATTGGACAGACCAATAGAAGAATAAGTACCCGCCTGGAAGAACACAAAAATGCAGTAAAAAAGCTGGAACACACTTCCTCACTAATCCAACACATGAAAGCAACAGGTCATAGCATCGACTTCAATGGCACCAAAACCCTAGCCACTATAGAAAACCCCAGCCACAGAATTATCAGAGAAGCCATAGAGATTGAAAAAAGACCAGAAAGCATGAATAGAAGAGATGATTCCACCAGAGTGTCAATTATTTGGAAGCCTGCACTCACAAACAAAAAAAATCTCCACACCACCAGCCAGGCAAACACCTGGGCACAAACAGATCCCCCCTGATACCTCCAGCTCAAACACATCCCAACCAGGCACCCAGATGAAACCCAGCTTCCTAACTAATGATAGCCGTCCATTTACCCGAAGCCAAGCTGCACTAAAGACCTCCATTAAAGCAACACAATGCTGCCAGCCAATCAAGATACAAAAAGAGCCAAAAAACAGACAGAAGATATTAGAGACACCAATCAAGCAGAACACAGCAAACTCCGAGACCAATAAACACAGACCAAGACTCCCAACCAATCAGGATGAAGAAAAAACCATTCTGGCACAGCAATAGGCTGCCCCAAATTCAAATCTGAAACCACTGTAAAAGTCTGACTCACAGACGGACACAATACAGAAGCCTGATGATGGCAGATGAGATTCTGCTGAAACGTTGCTACAACTTTAAAAGAACTACAATGACGTGGGAAAATACCCGAACCAAGCCGAACACCATACATATATATATATATACACACACACACACACACACACACACACACACACACACACGCACATATGTGATCAAGAACATAAAAACATATACATAGAAAAACTAATCACTATAGAATCAGCAAATAGAACATTTTAAAAGGACATTTTGTTACTCATGCCATTACAAAGGTAGAAGATAGAGGGTACAATCTGCAAAGCTTCCAACACAAGCTTTACAGAATTATTAATGATCTTCCACAACTTTCATTTATTTTCCAGAAACACATGTAAGATATTTGATTTCAAGATGGATTGTCCATCACTGCCCATGTCTTTTTTTTCAGTGTCTTTGAGTAATTTCATTCATTCATTCATCCATCCATCCATCCATCCATTTTCTATGCCGCCCACCTAACCAAGGTGACTATAGGCAGCTTACAGTCATTCAATAAAATATATCATGTAAAACATTTAAAATAATACATAAAATCCATAAATTGTTGATTCCTGGTGAATGGCCCGGAGCAGTCCCTGCAGTTTTCTTCTGCATTACATTTGATATAATTAACCCCCATGTCCTTTCAGACCAGGGCTGTCAAACTCGCAGCCTGGGGGCCAGATGCATCACGTACTAGCCACGCCCATGCCTGGTTTAGCGAAGGGGGAAAAAAGTCCAGATACATCAATGATGGGGCTGTGACGATGTGGGTTTGACACCCCTGTTCTAGACCATCTGCAGCAGTTGGGAGTTGGGATGCTATCTTGCCATGGTTCCACTCCAATCTAAGCAGGGAGTTTCAGTCAATGGTCATGGAGAGTGATTTTATTATTTATTTATTCGTGTTGGAATCATCACAATGAAAATAAGGCATACTGACGCAGTGGTTAGAATGCAGTACTGCAGGCTACTTCTGCTGATTACCAGTTGCCAGCAGTTTGGCAGTTTGGGTCGCACTGGCTCAAGGTTGACTCAGCCTTTCATCCTTCCAAGGTTGGCAAAATGAGGACCCAGATTGTTGGGGACAATATGCTGACTCTGTAAACTGCTTAAGGAGGCCTGGAAAGTACTGTGAAGTGGTATATAAGTCTAAGTGCTATTGCTATACTATACGACATAAAATACCAGATCATTTATCTTTTGCAATCATTTTATTATCATGGGGGACATGAAAGGAGCCTCCCTGAATAATATATGATATTAAAACTTTTGGGCGTCCCCTGGGTGATAGCTTATAGCTGGATAATCTTTTCAATGCAGAAGCATGCAGACGTGTAGTGAGGCTATCACTTTCATCTGTGACACTATGGAGAGTGACTGAGCCCCTGAAAGTTCCAATGTGGGATTCCCCAGGGCTCAGTCCTTGCCCCCATGTTATTTAACATCTACGTAAACTTTAGTGAGAGACTGTTCATTGGTTTGCAGTGAAGTGTCATCAGTATGTTGATACTATCCCGTTATGTATCACAATCATGAACCAAGTTGATACTGCCCTAAAATAGTTTGTGATTATTTTGTAAGTCTTCTTGGACTCTAGCCAAATAACAGGTGGAAACCATGGCCAGAGAAGGCCTTGCCCAGATTGAACTGGTGTTCCAATTGCCTTAAATAGGACATTCTGGCAACAGGAACTCTGATCTCCACCTGTGTTGGATTATTCTAAACACTGCCTTCTTTTTAAAATGATGCAGAAGTTGGCAAGATTGGCATGATTGCTGACAGGGCAACCTCATCATTGTAGAATAATGTGGACTTTGAATTGATTCCATTGGTTACTTTTAGGTTTCAAACTCAGTTCAATTACTGATTGTTATCTTCAAAGCCATTTATGGCCTAGTACTAGGTTATACCTCACAACAGGCAGTATCTGAATACACTACTTACCTGGCACAGATTTCTCCAGAGGATCTATTCAGGATGACCCCTCCCTGTGAGGTACATGGGCTATAGATCAGGAAACAAGCCTACTCGAGGGGTAAGGCCCACTTCATGAAAAAGAAACCCCTACTATTTCAGCAGGGTATTGGGCCTTAGTGAGCAACCATTATAGGTAGCTGGTTGTTGTTGTTATGGTTTGATTTTAATAATTGCATTTTAGTATTCTTGTTCACCTTATAGAGTCTGTCACAATTGGAATATTTTATTTATTTATTTATTTATTTATTTATTTGATTTGCCAATTGTTTACAAGATAATAAGTATAAGCGTATAGTTGTGAATACATGAAATGGGTACATATAAGAAAAATAAAAGAATAAGAGAAACAATAGGACAGGGACGGTAGGCACGTTGGTGCGCTTATGCACGCCCCCTACAGACCTCTTAGGAAAGGGGTGAGGTCAATAGTAGACAGTCTAATGTTAAAATTTTGGGGGTTTGGGGAAGAGACTACAGAGTCAGGTAGAGTATACCTATATTCTATAGGTATTATAAATAAAGTACTTTTAAAATGGAAACTAGGTGGCTTTCAGGTTATTCTGTAAAGCTGAACCCCAGACATCTGCTTTCAAATCCCCCCAAGATGGCATTGCCTTGAGTTTAAGTTAAACGTTTCCATTAAACTGTCTCATAACGCTTCTTACTTCTGTGACTTGAGGCTTAGAAGTGGATAATGGCCATGCATGCATGCAGACATTCACTCTCTCTCACACACTCATTACTCACATAGTAAAAAGCTTATTACTGAATTACTCTGAATCAGATTTTTCAGCACTTCTTTGGGGGGGGGGGGGGGAACAGGCTGAATAGATATGGAACATTAGATTACGATAATTTATATTAATCAGAGGAAAGTCTACCAACAGTATGCTTTGCTAGGCTTTAATTTGCAAGGAACGCCTTGCCAATTACACACTATACTTTATAGTTCACTGGCATCATAATAATTAGTGCTGCTGCAATGTAATTTGATCAGTAATAAGTAATTCCTGTGCTTAAAGGTCTTATTTTGTTGCTTATTTCCTTGTAAAAAATGTTACGTTATAGAGATTTTTGCAAGTCAAGAACAGCCATAAAGAGTCCTGCATTATTAATCTGACAGAGGGGTTTTATGGTCTCTTTCTGATTTCAAATCAGAATGAAGAAAGTTTCTATTTGTCATATAAAGTCATTTATTAATAACCAAAGGGGTGGGGAAAAATCACATTCACAAACAGTAGAACAATTTTTCATTTGCCCTTTGCTTTACTGTCTTGATGTTAATGCATGCAGTAAATATGTAAAGGTTAATGTTAAACATTATTTGAGGTTTGCCTTACTCTGTCGATAGCAATATTCAGGGTCTTCAGGGAGGGAGGGAGAGAGAGAGAGAGATAGAACAAATACTTGCCGGCACACCTGCGCAAAAGAGAAGGCAGCTAACTAGAACAGATTGGTTTAATCCAGTGATAAGATAACTTTTAATGAATGTTTACACTTCTGTTTCATTCCAATATTAAAAATCCCACTCTCCCGGTATTATAATGAAGGAAATATGTTACATGCTAAAGATATTATAGGATA